GAAGGAGTTATTTCACGTACATTTTTCATTTGTTATTACCTATATAAAAGCAAGAACTTAAATAAAAAATCTTATTTAACCCAAGTCAATATAATATCACATAATTTTAATCACTAAATTTCTAAACATTTTGTATGTTTCATATAGAAATAATTTTTTTAAAAAAATTAATCGCATATCAACTATATAATAATTAAATTGTATTAGTCTAGTTAAACGATATAAAATAGTAAATAAATTTTTCTATTAAAAATATGAAAAAAAATTATTTTTATGGTTTACTTTATTGATAAATATATTTTTATGTTAATCTTATAAAATAAATTTAATTAGATAGATTTTTATATATTTAAATATGCATTCTTTTATTTGAGTAACATAAATATTTATATTAAATTTCTCAACCTTTTATTTTGCATAGAAATGTTTTTGAAAATATAGTATTATAAAATAAAATAAATATGACCTATAAAAGAAGTCTGAACTGAGAAAAAATATAAGACATGAAATTATATAAAATAAATAGTAAAATCTTTATCTTGACCAAAATTTTACAAAAGCATCCACAAAAACTTTCTAAAATATAAAAGTAGGTTAGATTCTTGTTTTCTTAAATTATTAGTTCCTTCATTATAAGTAAAAAATTATTCAAACTATAATATATGAAATTAGAACAATAAAAAATAATTAGAAATATCAATAATAATTATAATAGAGTTTTAAGCTTACTTGTTGAAGACTTGCAAAATTTGTTGTACTTGATCTCTGAATTCTATAAGAAGTGATGGTGAGATCTTTCTGTAAGTTACACTCCTAAAGCACAACTCTCGATAGGCAAATTGTGGAGCAACTCATATAATTATATAATTATCAATGATTATAAAAGAGACCTAGCCTTGAGTAACATAAAGTATTAACCCTAATTCCTTCCCATTATGGGCTTTTGGGTTAAGGCCTCCCTCACATAAGTAGCATAATAATAATAATAATAATAATAATAATAATAGTATATGCGGGTATGGGGCGGGGTGGGTACTTAGGTACCCATACCCGCCCCCATCCCCATGGAAATTTGCGGGTATTTCCCCATACCCATACCCATACCCGTGTAGTGGGTAAATACCCTACCCGTTGAGGGTAGATTTTGCGGGTACCCATCGGGTACTTTACCCATTGCCATCCATAGTCCTTTTAAGATGGTGATTAATACAATTTTAAATAATTTTTTATTAAAAATTGTAAGAAGATGTATTAATAATTTTTTTTTCATATTTTTATAATTCCCTGTAACATTTGCCTAAATGATATTTAGAATCATAAAGAATTAGAATTGTCTTCCTTTGCTTAACTTTTTAAAAAAGTTTCCATGTTTAGAATTCGTTATATATACAAAATTTAAATAATAAACTTAGGGACCAATTTCCATTTTTGGAACACATTAAAGTAATTTATTTCATTAACTTTATGAGTGTTTAGTACTATTCTTATTTAAGTAATTTTACTTAAATTATTCATATTATTAATATGGTTATAAGAAAGATTACTTAAATATAAGAGACAACAAATACTTAAGTGTGATGATAGATATAATCAAACTTAATATAAAACAGGTTGAAAAAATTAGTTAATGACAACAAAAAAATTATTTAAATAAAAACTTAAATTAATTTTTGTATTCAATAGTAAGAATGAAATAAGTTGAAACTTCATACAAGTTATCTAAATACCTTGCCACTAGTCCAATGTTAATGACTTAAGCTAAAAGTAAATTAAATAAGCTCAACCTGAACATACTTTTATTCTTGTGTAATTAATAATAAAAAAAGTCATTTTCCGTTTACAAATCTAATCAATTCCAAATATTTTGATTCCAAACATGCCTTATCAGAATACTCTATTGCAAGTTTGAAACCATCGGTCCAAGTGAAAGAATTGGAGCAGTAATTTGGATGAAATTGGTGGGTTGAATGATAGAAAGAAAAATGGCAAAAAGGATTTGATTGGAAGATTTCACCCAAATTTCTCTGGCAGTGTAAGGAAAATTCAAATTGCAAGACCTCAAATAGTTCATAGACAAGTTCAAGTTTTGCATGAACTATTTTTTAACAATGCTGACTTTTATTAAATATAAATAAAATAATAAAATATTATTACATATATTTATGAAAATACACAAATAATAAAATAAAATAAAGCACCCTATGACCCTTTAAACTCTGCTATTAGTTCGTCTCTCATGAAATCACACGGACGCACATAACTATCAAAATCAAACGAAACAGGCCGAGCAGATTGAGACCCGTTGGACCCAAAAAACAGTGAAATAACAAACTTAGTATAGACTCTATAGACCCAAAAAATTTGTTCAGTCGAAAGATTGGTCAAATTGATTAAGATTCAACCCAAATCAGTTAAAACTAACTAAATAAAATGATTTGAACCCTTTTTTTTTTAAGTTGACTTTATTTTTTTTAAATTTTATTCAAAATATTAAAATAAATAAAAGCTCATATGTGAAACTCACGTTTCTTATATCTTTTTGTTTAATCTTGTTAGATCTATAATATGATCCTTTTATTTAAATTATTTTTTTTTACAAAATTTTATGATATTTTATTATTTGATATATTAGATATTGCAAAAAAAAGAATAAATATTATTTTCATTATATACATATATTCTCTCTATATTACCATTTCGTTTCAGACTTCTTATTCTTTTATTTTTAGCTCACTTTTTGATGTTAAATATAATGTGTGAATATATAATAATACATATAAAAAAAATATTAAAGTAAAACTAACACGAAAATTGAAAATCAACCTGCCCAAATGCTTATGTTTTACAACTACTAATACAAGTAGATTGATTATAAATTGTAAGTTTTCCAAAATTAAAATTTTAAATAAAATATGGGAGAAATTTCTGCAATTTTTTTTAAAGAATGTCATGCAGTAAAAATAACTCCAAACAACTTAAATATCATTTCAGTAAATAATTTCATTTTCTTTTCAAAAAGCCAAACTAAAGATACTACTAAATAATAAATTTATTATTTCTTCACCTTCAATATTCAGCTGTTATATGATTTTTACCTGATAATTGTGTTTTAAGTTAAATGTTGCAAGTATGATTATTTTTTGAAGAGCTTTAAGCCTTTTATTAATATCACTTTGAATATAACAAATGAAAAAACACCCGGAGGACGCTTTGAAATCACACATACAAGAAGATCAAGTTTAAGACTTTCTTTCTCATTTGGCTGAAAATAGGGATGACTTAGCTGGATACTTTTGTTCTATTTTAAACTAATTATTTATATCTTTAATCTAAATATTTTGAAGGGCTTCCAATATAGACGATAGAGCCAAGTGCATTTGTAGGGCCCAGTCAAGACAACGACACTTGTAGAAAAAAGGGTCGAGTCAATGGAGCAATTAACGTATGAGATGACATATAATTAACAAGCATACTAATAACAAAATTTACACGATTAATTAGCTTTCGATGAAGGCAAGCACTGTTTCATAGACACTATAAATAGAATGTGCAGAGTACCTTATTCTTTAATTTGTGGTCAAGGAATTGTTTTCAGAAACATTATCATAAGTTTAGCTAATGTAGATGACAGTATAAAAGGAAGGAAAAAAAACCTTTCATTGTATTACTTGGACAGCCAAGCTAGTCAAAGGAAGTACTAAATTATTTCTAACGTAGCGTGCTACACTGCCATTTACAGAGATATTTAGTATTATAGCTAATTGTGTAGATTCTAAAAGATTATATTTATTAGGTGCCTCCAATGTGTAAAAAGGTTAATATACTACTGCACACAGCTTTTCCTTTGTTTCACTGGCCAGAAGTGGTCCAAATTCAGCCAGCCACATGCATTTCAATTTCTCTACTTAATACCTTATCAATTATATCTCTCTGAGAATGACCAAGATAGCGCACTTAAGGTTTGAAAGAAAGCAGAAATACTTCTCTTGGAACAGGCCTCGAATTACTGGATGTGGGTTCAGAGAGCTACTCCAAGTGTCAATGAATTTGGTCTGACTTATGCTGATATATGCTACAATTCATGTCCAGAAATGGTATTTTGTAAGCTAAATTTCTTCAAAGCCAAGGGCTATGCTTACTCACATGTCCCATAGTTCACTTTTATGAATCAAATCCAATAACAATGCAGGTGGGATTTTGTAAACAAAAACTATTAGTATTAGTATTGTCATTACGACACTTAAAATGTCATTCTCTAAATCATTTTGTTAATGCTAAAAAGCCTGAGTACTTGCAAAAAAATACAAAGGTAATTACCTGTTTAACAAATTTGAGATATAGATATGAATAAATAACTGCAAAATTGTATGAGTACCTACTCCTAAAATAAGTAGTAATTTATAATATTTAACTTTAATATCTTAATGTTAAAAGTTCACATTGTATTTATATTTTTAATGCTCATTATAATTTCTCATTATATTTCAAGGGTTTTTAATTAATACTTTTTATTAATTAATAAAAAAAATATGAAAATCATGTTTTAGTTAATTAAAATGCAGACAAATATGTGACTTTAGGTACCAACTAATATGGAATAAGGACCTACAAAATGCATATCTTTCTCTCCCTTGCAGCATCGATCCAATGCTAAAAATATTCCCAAAACTTTACCACATATAAGAATGAGTGGTCAACTGATTGATTACCCCATTTGTGAAGTTATTTACGTCATTACGTGGAATAATGCACATGGTGAAGCTTTTAGCAATGCCGCTCAAGGAAGCAAGATTTCCTGCTGTGTGTGGATCTTCCCCCAAGCTTTTTCTTTTTTCACAAGTGCACAGTTGATATTGTTGATATTATATTGATTCCTGGTAGCTATTTAAAGAATTCGTATCATTGTTTTCAACTTAGAACAGTTAATTTTTAGCCTTGGGAATGTTTGGCATGGCTGTTTCGTCCCGACTAAATTTCATTTAATCTTATGGAAATGAGGAGCGCAAGGGTATATGTATAATGCTGAATCTCGAATGGGTTATACAAGTCCAGAACTCTACTTAGAATTAATTTGCAGAAAACCATATCGGGGCTGCCTCTAGATATTTATACTTGGGAGGGAATATTTTTAACTAATGATCCATTGGCATGATCTTTCAACATAATCCTACTCATACTGCCTAAGAATATACAAAAATTAGACCCTCATATACAGGGAGCGGGGGCTTAAACCAGATCCACTTTTAGAAGACACGATTGATGGCCATGTATGGATGCAAGTCATACTAATTGTAGAACTCAGTCTCTTTCTGGAGCATCACCAGACGCTCTTCTTGCACTGAGGTTTCCCGTGTATGACCAAATCCTTTCAAACTCAGATGCAGCCAACTTTTCGGCCTTTGAATCTGTGCCCTCCTTTCGGGCATTCCTCTTCACAGCATGTGTCCTTCCAGGACTGCAAGGGCTCCCAGTAACAGGAGAGGAGGAACAGAAAGTTGGTGTTGCAAATGGGGAGCCATATGGGCTGTGTTGAATTGAGAAGGGACTAGGAGATATTCGCTTCTGGATGGGCATGCCACCAAAACCTCCCCTGCTGAACAAAGAGATGGAATCTGCAGCTGCACATCGCTTAATACTATCATCTACGTATAGGACATCATCAATCCTGGCCATTATGTTAAAGGCTAAGCTCTCCGTCACCCTTGAATAACTTTCAAGAATAGACTGTCCAACATCCTGCAACAAAAAGAAAATTACAACTTATGTTTTATTCTAAGCCACCTCAGTCCAACCGAAGTCCTCAGTAACTACTAACTGTACACTCATCATAAACCACTTATAACAACAGAAATTGTTAATCAGGAAATTGACAAACCTCAACCAATCTCACTGCGAAATGCTACAATCAATCATCAATGTGGACCATGAAATTGAGAAACACTATTATGTATTTTTCATGGACATAATAAAGTATTTAATCTCTGGAAATTATATTCTTTATAATCAATCATCAATGCCTTGACACACACTCCTAGCTAGTTTGTTTTAACATATATCCCAAACAGTGGCCAGGCCTCGTGAATCAACAGAAAACTTGATGTTCAATCCAAACAAAGGATTAGGAAAAAAGAGAAAGTACCTTATTATATTGAATTTTGGCCATGTCTAGTGCAGTCTGAGGGAGCCCCGGAAAGCGATGTTTCAAGCTTTGTAGAAGTGTCTCTGCCCGTTGGGCAAGAAAATGGTTCTTTTCACCATCAATAACGAGCCCCTTCACCTTTCCTCCCCAAGATCGTCTAGCTTTTGCCGAACTTAGATGTTTCTTATGGTCCTTCAGCCTCCATACATTTATAGCAGCCTCAATTCTATTAGCTATATCCAGAGTGTGGTGCTCCGATGAAAGATCCAGGCAATCAAGGAGACATTCAGGCGAGAACTGGTCCCCAGTTATGTATCGATAGATTATATCCCCTAGACAAGCCTTTCCATTCTGCATTTGCAGTTATACAAAAGAGCACAAAGGCGTTTCATCAGTCTTCAGCAAGTTTTAGCCTAATTTCAAGAATCAAGAATTCCAACTACATATCAAGACGTTACTGAATTCCTGCCATTTTTTTCTCTCTCGAACCATCGACAAAACTATTAGGTAAGAGAAGTCCTAAGGCCACAATTTCAGCACTCAAACTACAACTTCACAAAATCAGAAGTATACTCACATATACATTATTATGAACGATGTCTGTTTTAACTGTCCACCACTCATAGCACGAAACTCACATCACACACACTATAACTTAAATTATAGCCATGAGCAATTTCATTTCCTATTTGAAAACGCAAAGCATAATCAATTAATTACCTTGGGCAAGGACTCAACATAAGCGCGGGGAATTTCCATTTCAGCAAGAACAGAACTATTAATAGCCATGGCAGCCTTTAGTATCTGATTGGTGCAATCCCTACATTGCTGCAACCTTTTCCTATCATCTTCAGACAACCCATTTGGCGGAACCTTGGGAGAGGGAAGCCACCATTTCTCCTCTTGCCTAACCGAAGGTCTACCATATGCATCACAATCCTTAGAATCACCCAATATAATTCCCCGGTCAACGTACCAAAACTGCGTATCATGAAAGCCATCAAGCATGCTAAGCAGCATTCCATCAAGTTTCTTCAGGGCCGGGAGATTGATGTACAAATCCGAGCGAGGGCGCGTGGCCATCACCTCGTAGGTTCCACCGCCAGGAAACTGCTGCACAGATGGCACAAGCTCCACAATGGAGTCACTCACGCATAGCAGCCACTCCATTTCCCTACGCCACATAGCCTTCTTCTGCGGCGCTAGCGGCTCCAACCTCCACAGTTCACCAAACACAGTCGCTGCAATTACAATCCAAACTCACATTTCAGACATCAAACCGTAATTAGCCACTCCTAAGCAAAATTAATTAACACTAACCAGAGAGATTCGTTATCGCATTAGAGATTGCAAGCGCAGTGCACACTCCCTTCCCTCCACCAGACATGTCCTCTCCGAGAAGCAGCTTCGCGAACCTCTCTTTCATCAGTTCCACTTCTGCAAAATGCAAATGCTGTTCAAATTTCGCACTCTCACTCTCACTCACTAAGCCTGAATCGTGAAGAGAAAGAGTGAGTACCTGACAAATCCAGGTCGCGCTTGTGATCCCAAACGACGACGTCTTTGCCGCCAATGACGGGAAGCATGACCTGCGCGGGCGGGAAGTTGAAGTGAGCGGCGAGGGGACGAGGTGAGAGATTGGCAGAGCTGGAGGCTCCCTCGGCGTCGAAACGGCGAGCGCAGAAGCTGCTGCAACTCTCGGATTCGCTGACGTCAGCGCTGAGGCTGTAGCTTCCGCAACGCTCGCTCTGTTGATCGGAACCATCTTCAGACGAAACGCTCCCCATTGTTCCCTGGAAATCTCACTCAGATCTCTCTCACATTTCACTGAACGCTGCGGTGTGTTCGCGGCGAGTAATTGGTAAAGGGAAAAATAAAAGGGGAAAGCGAAGAAGACAAAGAAGACTAGGTGGGGGACACACAGGGCTAATTCGTAACGTTCTCTCTCTCTTTCTCTCTCATAGCAGAGTGGTGGTGGTGGTGATGATTTGATAGGGGCAAAAGCTAGAAAAGAGACGGCGTTTGCAGAGAGTGTCTTTCCGTGAGAGCAGGGTTAAACACCCGACACGGGCCTTTTCCGTAGGGTCCACTCCTATACGTTGTATTAAAATTCCACAATGCATGACGTGGCATGTTGTGGTTGGATACTTGTGAACCTCCTTGGAGCGAGAAACCGTTGATCCCGCGGAACAGTACCAAACGGCGGTTAACTGTGCATTGGGATATGTGTGGGGAATGCTAAGGTGTGCCCTGTCGATGGTGGTTCGTAATGCACATCTTTAATCTCATCCAATGGGATAGTGGGACCCTGTGTCAAAAGTTTCCATTGTAACTAACCTGGATCCACCTTCAAAAAAACAAATGAAAAACTTGGGATGGCGCAGACAATTCTGACATTGTGTGTAGCTGAAGCATTCCCATTTCCATCACGTTAGCGCCCGGATCAGGTATGGTATAGCAAGGCATTTGCACATTGCATTTGCATTGCGTAGCCTTCTTTTTAACAATTGTACATTGCGCCCCCAGAAAAACTACACACGCTTAGAGACATATATCTTTTGCGTCACGAAAATCCTTTCGAAACCAAAAGCCTTGTGGCTGTGGTTGGTCTGTGTAGCATTTTCGTTTACTTTCTTCACTCAACGTTACGCTCTCTGTTTTTATACCCCTTCATTGGCAAATATCTCGGGAGAATGATTATGATCATGGTTCTCAAAATGCGGTTCCCCATAAACACCGTTTTCTATTTTGCTATTGCTATTCAACAATGAAAAGAGTTGGTGTGACAACAGTGAACCCTGCAAGATCGAGCCTTCACAACCGACCTTCGGGGTAGATTAATCGGATAAATTTTGAATTCAAATGTCAAAGTATATTTTAAAATTTCTATTAAATTCAAAATTCATGTTTATAAATGTTGTTTTTACCGAAAAATTGTAAGGTTCAAAACTCGTATGTCAAAGAATTATATTTAACTAATAAATTTTAAATTAATTAATTTAATAAATTACAAAAATATGTTGAATGATTCATTATTTGTTTAATAATAATAATGATCTAATCAAATACATTCGTTAAATTTTATTTTATAATTATATAAATTAGTTAATTTTATATATGAATAGATTAGATAATTAGCAAATAAATATATTTTTGTCAAAATAAATAAATATATTAAATTAATACTTTTACGCTAGGCTTGTGATGATAGGTTGGCACATCAAGCATTTTTTTTTTTGGTCAACTTCAAGCATGCGTAAGGTCACAAAACAGTATCGGTGCAGAAGTTTTGGGCCCAAAACAGTCATAGTCCAATAGTTAATGACCAAAAACATGCATGTGTTCAGTTCTTGACAAAAATATATTCTTTGTTTTTTACAAAAAAAAATGCACTTTTTGAAAAAAAAAATGTTACATGTATTTTAAAGTATAACTCAAGTGGTAAGAGTTAACAAGTTATATGCAAAATAATCAAGATTCGAATCTCTTGATCTTAAAAGTTCCTACATTCTTTTCCTCTTATCGTAATCTCCCTCTCCCGATGACAAAAAAAAATGTATTTTTTTTACAAAAAAAAAAGGATGTATTTTCAATACTATAAAAGAACTCGGGAATCTGAAAGAATCTATTGAATTCAAAACCCGTAATCAGACATGGTTAATTCTCCTTATATTTGAAACTTTATCATTCATTAAACAATTGGGATTTGTGCTGACAGATTCTTTATAAATTGTGAATGATTTATAAGTATTAAACAATTTTTAATGTGTAACCAATTAACCGATGGAGTATTAGAAAGTAAAATATATAGTTGATGTCAGGTTTTAGAGTTGGTAATTGCAGGAAGGACTCGCAGCAGTGTAATATGCCCGCACTATAAATCATAGTCGTGAGCTCTAGTGAAACATAGCGTGTCAAACAAAACAGCATAATGCTTCAAAGCCATACACGACATAGATTGAACTTGTTTGCTTCATTTCATTTTGGAAAACTAAAACAGAATTTTGCTAATACATCCATGAAATATTTTTTTATTTTAAAAAATAAACCAATGGGAGGTAATTTAATTATTATCATACTGAGATGGTGATTAAGTAGTGATACAAAGAAATTGTAGATGAATGGACAAAGAATGGGGCCAAGTGGGTCCCTACATAGCTAGATTGTTGATAGACATCATTGGTGTTTCATATTTGATTATCATAATGGTCTGGTTGTTCTGCCTGCAGCTTTGCCACAAAGAAGAGCATTCTTTGGAATTGGATATTCATCCCTGATGGATTCAACTGGTGAGTATACTCGCAGATAGAATTGTTGTCCAAGGTATTGTCGTGCCCAAAATTCACTCCTCACGTTCCACATACCCACATTATCTAGTGCCATATAAATTGCGGTCCATGACTTGGGATATACCTGAGACATAAAATTTATCATTCAGATGTTGTTGCATATGAATGATAAGTAAACGATCAAACGGAATGCACCAGTGAAAAACAACCAACCTGTGTTGTGCACCTCGACACTGCATCTCTAAGGTTGTACTGGTTACGATTATTAGGTGTCCACTCTCCACCGTCCATTCTGCATCAGAAATGCCATGTTGAAATTTAAGTAATATGAATGAAGTATACTCGTGTACATAGTATATAGTAAAAGATAAACTCTTACCCTACAACCCAGAAAGAGTATCCGTCAATGTGCCAGCTCTGGATGATGTTTTCGTGGTTCTGAAACACGATCTCAACGAAGGCTCGAAAATCAGCACCCATGACTGAGGTGTCGAGATACATAGGTTTGCCAGAAGGGGTATCTGGGATGCTTCCAACTTGGAAAACACCAGCAATTTTGAAGTAATCAGCCAGCTTCAGAGGAGTGTCAGCTGGAATGAAGGATACACTGTTCACCGCATATCTCTGCTTCTTATTCACTTGTGCTGCTGAGCTTTCAAGCTTAATTGTCCTGCTAATGTTTATGAGACCATAGTGGTAAGATCCTTGGGGATTTGGCCTTGGTCCACTCGCAGTCAAGTTTGTCCTACAAATTGCAAATGTTATTATTGTGTTGAACAATGTGAGTGAAGAAAGTAATTAAGTGGCTAATTAATTCTACCTATGTGAGATCATTACCTGATTGAACGGGCTTGTTTTATGGACCAATCGATCTGGGTTGTTGGGCCACCGGGAATTGGGCCAGAAACAGATTGCTGGGAGTTTGTGTAGTGAAGGATGGCAGTGCTTGTGAGGACCTTGTTAGTGAAACGAGTGGACACGGCAATGTAGTAGTCTTTGGGTGCTTGATTAGCTGTGATAAGAACGGAATAAGATTGTCCCACATGAACATCTAACGAGGAATACGTGGTTTGCACGGTGTGAGTTCCCTCAACTTCCACTAATTTCATGTCATGCCCTTGAATCCTAAAGTTGAGAGTGTTTTGAAGTCCAACGTTGGATATTCTAAGCCTGTATGTTTTCCCTGTTGTTCATTATGAGATGGCATGGCAAAATAAACGTTATCATACAAAATTCAATAACGTTGAACGAAAACATGTATGAAAAAAGAGGACCATTTAGAGAGGCATACCTTGTTCAACTGTGAATGTTGAACCGTTTGCTCGACCATTGATAAGAACGGCTTGAGGGAATGGAAGTCTGTGTCCAAAGTCTAGAACGCTCTTCAGCTTCTGAATTCGTATAAATTATATGTCAATAAAAAGAGGAGGAACAAGAAAAACTAATTGAGACTAGTGAAGCATAATTGCTTTGATCGAGTTTGTGTCTGTATACCTTGTGATTGATGTGGTACCAATCTCCAATAAGAAGGGTGAAATCACCATCTGGTTCTGGGAATGGAACGGGAATCCTTGGCCTGCTAAGGATTTTGATGCCCCCAAAGGCACCAGCTGCCTTGTGGAATGCAAGAGATGGGAAGTAGAAAAAGCTTCCAATTTGATCTTTGACTTGAAGTGTGTAGGTGAAGTTCTTGCCAGGAGGGATGGGGCATGTGGTTCCATAAACTCCATCTTCATAAGAATTTCTCCTTTGCTGAACACCATCCCTATTGCATTCATAAAAACAAGTTAGCAAGTCAAGATTTAGAGTTCTTTTTGTTTTGGGTTATTCATGTCCATTATCCAAATAAATGTTCATTCCAATAAATGTTTTGTTGAAATAAGATGCCATTTTTCTTCGGCTTTAAGGCAAGTGTAAATACCCAATTGACATTAATCATTCAAAAACAGAGATGGGCCTCACAGCTCGTGAAGAGTTTTACTGCTCTACGAGAGAATCGTGAATAACATAACACTGTTCTGTTTAGGTGGGCTTGAAGTGTATTGGGTTTGATCCGTGACATAAATTAAAGGGCAGAAGTGATGGGCGATAACCACATTTATTGAACCCATGTTTTGATTTTTCTAGATCTGTCATCGTGAGTGAATTGAATTGAAGGAGCATTTATTGCCCAAAATTCAATTTGACCAAAAATAAAATAAAAGGATCACGGTGGCATCTACTCAATCCTCATCAATGACAGCAAGAAAGAGAAATATGGGGTCGCTTCCTTGCGGCCTTTGGAATCTAATACAGTGTAATTATGGAGAGGCTTCTAATATACAATTTTGCCAAGACACGTGTCTCAATAACAAAAACAAAAGCGGTAATTAAAGTAAAATAGGAAACTTAGCCATAACTTAATCTATTGAAATAGAAAGGGAAATAACTAATTAGAAGAAGACATTTTGTACATTAAGCAGCCATGCTTTAGTTAAAAGTGCACCACTTTGCCAGTTGGATTACGTATCAAGAAATATTTGGCCGCGTTATCCATGCCTTGCATTGAAGAACCTTGTTCTTCACCCTAATCAACGTGATTTAACTAAGGTAACTAAAATGTTGCATAACATTGTAAAGCTAGTTTTGTGTGTTCATGTAAATGTGACTGCTAGATTTGGCCATTTGGGTC